CTCGGGCGGCCCGATCTTACCTCTAGTCAGTGTCACCTGTCAGCTCATTGTCGTCCCGGTGCGCCGTTTTATTTCGAATCACCCGCGAAACTATTTGTTGGCGGTGACGTAGGAATCCCGTCTCGCGAAGCTTCGGGCGGAGCAACGCGCGTTCCGAGGCATCGGGCGTGGCCACAAGCGTAATCGACACATGCCTCGATGCGCGCTTCGCAGATTTTCTTCCGGTTTACTCGGCACACGCATCGGAGCCTCGGCACAGTCGGGCACATCACTACTGTTAACAGTAGCGAGCAGCTAGCAATTACAGCGGTTCTTTGGCTGGTTCAATGCGGCTCCCGGGCTTTCACACGACAAGCGTTGAAAGTGCGCTAAATACACAGGATGTACTACGTCAGCCTATACAATACAATACATCCTGATTTATATAGCGCTTTCATAACAGCTGCAGCTGTAACAAAGCGCTTAACAAAACAGTTAAAGTAAAATAATAAACACAAGACATAACATAAAACACGGAGAGTCGTGCAATCCTAACCACTTTTCCCTCATACGCTTTGTTGTTTAAAGCTATCATCAATCCCGTTACTTGACTGACACAGAGGGCAACCAATCAGATGACTGAATCACCACTCGTGCGCAAACAGTGCTAAACGCTAAGCTACTCAGCGAATTACCTCTGATGTCAAGGCCAATACGTCGTACATCACCCCTGGCTGCGAGGAAACTATCCAAGAACTACAATTTTCCACCAATGAACTACCAATGAAGAGCTACTCACCATTTTGCCATTAAAAGTACACACCAGGCGTGAGGATATTTTTAATGCTTTCATGGGTTTTGTTCGCGGGACAAAACAGTGGCTTTTAGATTTAGATTTCTTAGATTTCTGGGGGTGGTCAGATGTTGACACTGGACTGGTAGCTCTCCGGAGGGTGGCTTCTTGAAAAGAAGCCCTGCGGACAAAAAAGGTTGGGCACCCCTGCTCTAAAACATTGCATGGAATCGAGGAGAGTGGCGCTGCAATGACAGACTGGTATGGTGGTCTCTTGAAGAAGGGGGGGTACCGGAATGTATGTTCTAACTAATAGAAGGAGGGTCCTTCAGGAAGGCAGGAGGGGCAATATTGTTTTCATCCCGCCGTGGAACCGTGGACCACCCTTGTCATGGTCCTTGAGGGTGCATGGGAGTTCTACATGTGTTTTTTGGACTTGGAGAAGGCGTTTGACCATCTACCCCAGAGTGTCCTGTTGGGGGTGTTCCAGGAGTATGGGGTATGATGCCATCGTATTGGCTGTTTCAATCCCGGTATGACCAGTCTCAGAGTTTGAATCGCATTGCCAGCAGTAAATCGGAATCATTCCCAGTGAGAGTTGGTCTCTGCCAAGGTTGCATTTTGTCACCTATTCTGTTCATAACCTTTATGGACAGAATTTCTTGCCGCAGGCAAGGTGTTGAGGGTATTCAGTGTGGTCGTCTCAGTATTACATCTATGCTTTTTACAGATGATTTTGGCTTCTTCAAACTATGTTCTTCAGCTCCCACTGTGGCGGTTTGTAGTGGGAAGCGCTTGTGATGAAAATCAGCACCTCCAAATCTGAGTCCATGGTCCTCAGTTGGAAAAGGGTGGAGTGCCCACTCCAGGTCGGGGATGAGCTTCTCACCCAAGTAGAGGAGTTCAACTTGTTCACGAGAGAGGATAAGAGTGTGAGTTGCACAAGCGGAACAGCGCAGAGTATGCTGTGATTTAGACTCTGTGTTGGTCTGTTGTGCTGAAAAAGGAGTGGAAAGACCAGAGCTTTTGATTTACCGCTCAATCTACGTTTCTACCTCACCTATGGTCAAGAGCTGTGGGTTGTGACCAAAAGAACAAGATCCGGTGTCTTCCAGTGAGGTTTTCTGGGGGTGTCCCACTCGACGGAGGCCTTGAGGGTGACCCACTGGCAACATTATGTCTCCTGGCTGGCTTGGGAACGCCACTCCAAATTTACTGACTGTACCTGAATGCTGCAACAGACATTCCTTTCACCATCAGCTTGGCTCTCTTCATGCAGACAAGGGTTCAATTAACACCGACTTAAAATAAATATAGAATAAATACAAAATAACATACAGTCTCAACCAAGGGTCGGCAACCCACGGCTTTGCATTGCTTGGGAAAATACATTCTAATTGTCCGAAGTGTATGTTGTCTCAAAAACGTGTATCACTTCTGTTATGGTCTTTGACTGTACTCTTGGTGGCAGTGTTGCTATAAAAATACTGTTGAGATGAAAAAGGAAGGAGAGCACTTCTGTAATGGCGACTGTAGTGCGTTAAACGAATTACTGTTGTGTTCTTAATCGCCTTTTGAGAAAATACAGTTTTTGGCTACACTCTGGCCTCATTTTGCCTCCCAACACCTCACCTTCTTTCTTCAGATCTTGTGCAGTTTCGGTCATCAGCATTCGCCTTACTCAGAGACATTTGTGAGCACTTGACATGTCAGCAGTCACATCCGCATGCATGGCAAGCCCAGTGACACCAAAACCGCACAGTATCTCAGCAAAGTATTAAAATTTATGTTTGTTCATTTGTTTAATTGTAGGTATAAATTGTAAGATTATTGTGATCTCGAAAGATTAATAAAATAAAATTATTTATATATTGTATTATTTTTTTCTCACTCAAAATATGTGTCACACTCTTCTACAGCCTGGAAAAGCACCGTACACTTATCAAGACTTTCAACCCCAGGTTGGCCAAAGATCAAGAAATCTAAGAAAAGAAAATTATCTGAAAAAAATAGAATATTTAATGATGCCTGCGTGGATTCATTTGCATTTAGCTCTGACAAGAGCAGGTTATCAGTCTGCGTAATTTGTGGTGAAAAACTGGCCAACAATAAAAGGTCAAATGTTGAAAGACATTTTCAAAATAAACAGGCTTTGCTGAAAAATATCCGGAGTGAGAAGGGAGGAAAACAATCACTTTCGGAACTGATGCGGAAGGCTCATCTGAGGAAAAGTCAAGGTTGCTGACCCCTGGTCTAAAGAAATGTTTGACTGTGTGTCTGCTTTGTGCTGCGACATTGTGTGACGTAGTCGTACTGTACGTTCTCGTGCCGATTGGCTGTCGCTGACGTAAAGCTGCTGAAGTAAAAAAAAAAAAGAAGGATCTGACAGTGGCCTGGCTGCTGGCAAATGACGATTGATGGTAAAATTTACTGTTCGCCAATCTCTGCAAATAGATTCTGTAATAGTTCAAAGAATACCTTTTTGAGTTTATCTTTTTTACTGACTGTCTTCATTCAACAATGGACTGTTTTATGACCACCATTCTATTGTCCCAGGAAGATTGTGTTGTCTGACTGATGATGCATTAATTTGGTCATGAGGGTTCAGATACGGATTTTAAATACATTTCTTAGGTGATTTTATGCGTTTAGGATCTCTTCTGTTACGGTAGAAGAAGAAAACAAACAAACAGCCCAACGTTTATATAGTTATTCTTTGCTGAAAGTTGACCTATATTTATTTCTTTTATTTTTATTTCATGTTAATGTGGATACGATGTAATGCAGTAATGTACTTCTAACAATTTTGAAGGCAAATGATTATCGCGGCGGAGAGTTTTTCTTTTCTTTGTGGAAAATTATGAAAGAGCTCTGCCTTAAGGGTTGCCACAGGTGTTTGCGCATTGGTGTCACTGCTTTTACCAATGACTATGTTTCCGTCCACAGGAGAGGATATTTGAGATTCCACCTCCGTTGGTGTAATTGGAGTTCCTTGTGGCATACCAGATGAGGATAAATTGGTTAATCAGGTTGCTGCACAGTGGCGATCCATTTTTATAAACGTGATGACGGGAACTGCGACCTCCACTACAGTGTCCAGAAGCTTGCAAATTATACTGAGGAAGCAAAACAATTGACAGTCACCTCTCTGATGGTGTTCCGGGACCGCATTGCGGTCAATGTGCTCTTGGCTGAGGCCAATCGAGCGTGTGCGGTGTGTGGTGAACAGTGCGGTTCAACCACACCCTGAGGGCCCCGCACACTGAACCGGATCATTCCGGCGTGACCACGCCCTTGTCGTCAGAGATAAGGAGTAAGACCTTTGTCACGTAAGGTACTGGTGTGTTATGTCTTAATCTCTCAAATTCTTTTTTCTCAGCTATCTTGACATTGTGTGGATGTTGCTGCAGTCCCTGTATAAAAAGCTCTCCTTATCCAATTTATCACTACGGTTATGGCGCCCACGGCATCTAAAGTGAATGGAATGTACCCTCTGCTGTTACTTTTGGATGGCAGTGATTCTGATGTGGAAAACAACTCGGGCTATGGTGACTTGTTTTCATTTAAATATCAGGATGTCGTGGACGATGTTTACCATCTATTCCTGGGGTTTTTTTCAGATTCATATTTGATCTGGTGAAAACCTCTTTCTTTTCAGCCCCTGGGTGTACCTATGTTTGCATATACATCGTGACTCCACTGAATAAAGTCCGACAGGACTTCCAGGCCTCTGGTTTAATCACCTCCAACCACAAACATAGTCAACTTCTAATCAGTCATTAGTTAAAAAAATGAATTGTCTGAGACGTAGTTATGTAACCATACAGATACCAATCTATGATTGTATGAATTTTCCATGAAAGGGACGTCAAGTCAAAAATATTCTTGACAATAGTATGTTTTCTATCTGTGCCCCCAGTAGGCTAAACACGCTATTCTGAATAATATTGCTATTATTCAATATGAATCAAGCAGCAAAATCAATCAATTTTTATCCATTTCACTGGTGGCCATTTTGCCGGTTGCTCTCAACTGAAAAAGGGTGAGCCCTTTGGCACTATGATGCTTGCAAACACTATGATGCTTGCAAACATCACATCTTGCAAACATCACATCTCCAAACCCAGAAAACAGGTGAACCATGATAGATCGTTACCTGAACCCTCAGGTACTGTGATGCCATTTTCAATTGACAGTAAGTAGCAAAATGGTGGCCCCCTGAGAGGGATAAAAATGGGGGATTTTGCTGCTAATTCATATTCCACAAAGGAAATATTTATCAGAATGTCGTGTTTAGACTAGTGGGGGTGTATAGAACATATTGGATTGAAAATTTTCGACTCGACATCTCCTGTGCTTGGTGTTTGCGCCTTCTTGTTAGCATGCATGTACCAGCACTGGTTTTGATTGGGAGGAATGCCGGCGCCGTTTGACTGTCGGTGCTGGACTGTCGGTGCTTGTGTTTTTTGCGCCTGTAATGGGCAGCATTTTTCACAGCTCCGTATTGTTCAGCGGAAATGTCGATGCTGTTGGACAGTCTGCGACTGGATGGATGGATGGCTTGTGGAGCCGTCGATGAGAAGAAAGGAGCGTCAGCGCAGAGCGCAGATGTGTATGTGGAACTGGAAGTCGCCGCTTGGAATTGAAGCGGATTTACATGGGACACGAGATGTGAGGCAATCTCTGTTTTCGTCAATGGACGCTACAGCTTCTTGTTTGCTTTCAAACTTAGCTTGTAGCAGACGTGTGCACATTTTCAGCATGACATCTTTGATCCACTAGTGAAAGGACACTTTGAACTGCTTCAAACTACAAAGTGTATGCAGAAAAAGTGGTTAAGATTGTATGACCGTCTGCGTCTTATGTGTTGTGTGGTATTATTTTGTCATTTTATGTTAACTGTTCTGTTGGTGGTGGCACGGGTATCCGCAGCGGCTCCTCTCTCTCTCCTGTGGTTGAGAGGAAAGAAATTTCATCTGTCATGTACTGTATGTTGCACATAGAGCACATTTACAATAAAGTTTACTTGACTTGACTTTCACATACTCTGTGCGCAAATGTTAGTGTTTGGGGAACTTACTTTCAGTTGGCTCTTAATTGGTTCTTGTTGGAGGCGGGGGAGGGAGAGGTTGTATTGGACACGGCGGGATCCTTTCTCCGTCCTCTGCTCCCCGCAGGTTCTCCGCGTGTTCGTTTGAATTCGGGCTGAGGTGAGGTGTGAAATCAGAGGCTGGAAATGGAGAAGATCTTGCAAGAAGCTTTATCTGAACGTTGAGAGCACAAGTGTGACACAAGCAATCGTGGTCAAGGCACAAATGCGCAAAGGCAACATCTCTGTACAAGTCATATACAGGTATATCCTAAGCGGGGCGTAACTCCTAATGGTTATCACCCTTTCGGTTTCTGGATGGACCGCTCTAATGTTCTTGGCCTTTTATCATTTCTTAATGGAATCATGAAATACTATTTTCGAAAGACATAAAACATAATGGCAGTGCTTTTGATGTTGCAACATTTTAGCTTTTCTTAGAAGCCGTCTTAACGCTGGCTTCCACGAAAATCATAATTGTTCGCAGGGCCTCTACTTTTGGTTGAAACACAGCTGCAAGCGCGAAACCGCAAGCTAGCCAAGAGATGCACTTAAAGCGTTGTCTGGTCTATTTCTGCAAAGGGTGTTAACATTATTTTTCGATGCTACGACAGTTCAAGTCAAGGTCACGTCATAAGGTTCAAGTGGCGGTCACATTTCAAGGTTCAGAGTAAGGTCACACTATAGTCAAAGTCTGTTTGTCTGCAATAAGTAGTTTAAGCTAAACATGCAAATAGATAAATGATGGCTTCATTCTCTATTTTTTTTTTAAGTTGACTGTGGTCTTCAGCATGGAGCAGTTGCTGCATCACCTACAGCAGGTTTTAGAGACCCATGAGATCAGCTGGAAACATGTACTTTGCTTCCTATCCACTCTGCTGGTGTACAACCCTTCTGCGCAACCCAGTTTGAGAGGTAACATTTTCAATGGCGCCATTACAGTCTTGAGCAAGATGATGATGTCTCTGACTGGTTGGCCACCCCTGTCCTACATTTTACTGACATCTGATCGTTCTGTTGGGGCTACGCTCAAGGAAATGCCAAAATAAATTCTGTAGGGGTGCTATAGAATTTATTTTGTGATTTCCTCGCTTGATTTTCTGTTTTGATGCATTATTTTCAAGTTTCGTTGTTTCATTGAAGTAATGGTTAATTTACGTTTTTAGGAGGCGGCCATGAACGCCTCTTGAGTCGAACGGAAGGAGCATAGCTCCATCTAGTGGATGCATTGTAGATTGCGTTTTATAATCCAGTGCGTCCAATATATGAAAAAAAAATACAAAATAGGCCATTCATTGAAGGTGCGCCTCATAATCCAGTGCGACTTTTAGTGCGGAAAATACGGTACTCTAACCATTTGCAGCAGTTCTCCACAAGTAACAATGCTTTCATTATTGACACATAAATCGATACTGTAAGTTTGTATTTTTTTTTTGTATTGATTGACATTTGTTGACAAGTTTATTCAATGGGCATGTCATTCAAAACTCAGCAAACCCTAATTTTTACAAGTAATGCATTGGTGAACATTCCTAATGCAAGGAATTGACCTGGATGACACTGTTTTACACACAACCTTAAGTCAGTTTGTTTAAAAATATAAAAATTTAAATAAAAACATAGAACAACATCAATATGACACTGAGTTAAACAAATACACATATGTTCAGGATTAATGTTCTTAAAACATCATTAATTAAATGCATTGCGCCACACATGTTATGTTTTGCATTCTAAATTTTATCATTAATCGGCCAATTAATCAGTAACATTTTTTTATTTCTGCATCGATATCAGCCTGCAAAAATCCCTATCGGTCCAACCCTTTAAAAGTGTCATCTAAACAGAGGAAAGTGATGAGTAAGAAACTAGTACCGTATTGGCCCGAATATAAGACGGCCCTGATTATAAGACAACCTCCTCTTTTTCAAGACTCAAGTTTGAAAAAAGACTTTTTGAACACCAAATTAATTTTTATACAGAAAATAATTACAGTACATCTGAAACAAATGATTATAACAATATATTTGAGAGAAAAAGCAGATTATTTTGCCTCATTTAAATCTAAAGTGCAATCACATTCGTAAATGAATGGCTTCTGGTTTTTGAAATGTAAATTACATCATAACTTCTCCTCAGCTGCTGGTTAACGTGGCTGATCTTCAACCCACTTTTCTCCAGATTGTCACTACGTTTCTCCATTTTCTGTTATCTCTTCTATTATTTTCTTCTCTTTTCCTTCTTACCGCTATTTTTTATTTTTCTTCTTCGTGCTACCGCTATTTTTATTTTTATTCTTCAGGGCAGGGGTTCATGTTGGCCTGGGGAGTCAAGTTCAGCATTCGCTTCATTGATATCTGGCGCCATCTAGCGTCGTGAATGGGTGTAATGTCTAGACCCCGAATATAAGACGACCCCACTTTTTCAGTCTTATTTCAATGCAAAAAAACACCGTCTTATACTCGGGCCAATACGGTAATTTGGTTTAAACCAATGACTATCGTTCAATTGAGAGAGGAGGGGAAGCATAGCTCTGCACTGGTCCAGAGACCACGCCCCACTCCTTGGGCTTCGTTCAACTATTCTTGTCACCACAGATCGCATGTCACACAACCCACCTGTCTAATCGATCAATATGTGTGATATAGGTGGTCAAAATTGTTTTGAATTTCTGATTCATTTTACTTTGTACATTAAAGTGGGTGTGATGCATTGAAAACATGTAGTTTTGTTCATGATCTATTTATATATTGACAGTGATCCCTCGCTATTTCACGGTTCGTTTATCGCGGCTTCAGTGCATCGTGGATTTTTTCAAACATTCATAATTTTTTTTTTTTTTTTAAGTCCGCAAAAAGTCCGCAAAACAGAGATGAAAGTTCTCCGGATTTTCCCGGAATTCCGGATTTTCAAATTTTAATGAAAATTTCTCTGGAGAATTGAGGAAAAAATTGCCTAAAATTAATCCGGATATTAGTTGACAACATTGAACGAGCCCGCGTTTGAGTTCGTTGTTTTGCTTTCACGAGTGTAGCCATGTTGAGGCACCAACACTAGTAACAGTAAAGAGATTTTCGTCTCTTTTCGTCTCACACTTGCTAAACCCCAGTGGAACGAATAAAAGACGCCGTAGACAAGACAGTTGTCGTAAAAAATATATTTGGACAAAAAGGGAAACACACGGAATGGCAGAAAAATGTGTCCGTCCGACTTCAAGTGTCATCTCGGCTAGCTTAGCTTAGCTGTTGTCGTGTGTGACGGACTAGCTAGAGTGGCGTTGCCACAACAGTAATACCCTCACCTCCCATTCTCATGGCCTCGCCATATCTCGGAGATTTCGAAATTTCGGCGAGAACGGAAGCCACAAAGGGTGCACGTGAGCCCGATCACTTAACTTGATTTGCAGGCCCGAGCCTGAAGCAAACCCGAGATTTCATATTTTATTTGTGAGGACTCGGGAGGAGGAGGGATGATTTCTGATAACAAAGCCTGTCTTTTGGAACGAAATCTAAGTTAAACAAGACTGGATAAACATTTACATCTTTTATATTTCTGTTTCTGAAGAGGTTACATTAACGGACAATTTTCCATCATTGACGAATTTTTCGTGGACGGGGAAAATTTAAGGCCGTCCGTCATTTTGACGGGTTGAAAATTGGGCCATTCACCACAGCAGCAGTACGTTTTTAAGAATCGAGCGCGGCACTTGGAGAGAGAAGCAGCGAGACAAAAAAGAACAATGACGGCTGGATCATAAAGATATGAAGGAGTTCTTTGAATTGTCACTGCGAGAGTTGAGTACAGTACGTGTTGTGATGACGCCACTTCTGTTTTTTTGCGAACCACGGTCTCTCGTGGCCAAAACTATTCACGGCCTCAAAAAAAAAAAAAAAGTCAGCAAGAGAGAAACAGACAAAAAAAAAGTCAGCGAGAGCGAAGCCAGACCCGAACCCGAAGCAATGATTGACCGAGATTCGGGTCAGGCTCGGGCAGCCCGATCTTACCATTAATATCTACAATGACAGATCCAACATTTTCTCCAAAGCACATGTTCAGAAGCAGTGAGTGATGTTGTTGCCAGCATCCAAGTGTGTCAGTGTTGTGCAGTCCATGCTTCGTCAAGCAGACAACGTGGTGTCCTCTGCTGCTGGCTTAACCCTTGTGTTCCAATTTCGACAATTTTTTGTAGATTTTTGCATGTTGTCATCTTTAAATCAAAGACAAGGCATAAAAATTGTGTGATATGAAATATTCTAATTCATGTTTTTTATATATATATGTTTTGGTCATAGCACAGTACCGCTTTTATTGTCCATAGAGGGCAAAAATACAAAGAAAAAAATAAGAACTATATGTGTATGTATAGCACTGATGCCACTGAACATGTCGAGTGGTTGAAAGTGAAATAAATATTCAGGAATAATACTTTTACAATTTTTGTAAAATTGTATGTTGCGTTATATCAACTTATTTAGATCGACTGCAGCACATGGGTTTTATATATATATATATACACACACACACACACACACATACATATATAATTTTTTTTTCCCGGAATTTTCAGGAAAGTCCACTTTCATCTCTGGCAAAAGGTCCGCGTGAAGCAGCGAAAGTCAGCAAAACAACAGCGAGTCAGACAGAGCAACATATACAGTACTGTACTACATGTATATGTTTACTGTATTTTGTTCTTCATAAACTAACCTAACTTATGCATGTTTGAATCTATTACAGGGGTGCCCATTACGTCTATCCTGATTGACCGGTAGATCGAGGACTCGTCCCAATTAGATCCGAAAGGTGTAGAGGAGAAAAAAAAAAAAAAATTGTGTGTTGTACGTGTAATATATTTTTTGTGTTTATGTACACTGCACCCTAATCATCCTATCAGTCTCATTTTCCCCCCAAAAATATTTAAAAAATAAAATAAAATAAAGCAGGTAAATCTTTAACTTATGGTGGCACATGACCTACGTCGGCGGAAGTTGTTTGCGCTCAGCAATCTGCAATTGCAGCTTGTGATCAGAGCTGTTGCGCTATATCTTTGATCGTCATTATTCTCATTCAGAGTTTGCTTCGTGTACAATTCACCAAGGGCACGGGCAAAGAATAGGAATCTAGAGGGCTGAGGGAAGCACTTTCAAACGGTATGTGTGAGCTATGCTAGTCAACAGGCTGCAAAAGTGCATTGCTTGCTTCCGTGTTTGGCTTCTCATCATGGCGCACGCGTGCGTGCGTGCGTGCGTGCGTGCGTGCGTGTCTGTGTGTGCGTGCGCGTGCGCGTGCACGGTAAGGGGCGATCCCGGGAGTTTGTTTGAACGAAAAGTCGATCTTCGGTCCAAAAAGTATGGGCACCCCTGATCTATTAGTATACAGCATTAAGTCATGTTAATTATTCAAAATTTACTTCACATGCATGTACAGTGAAACTACTCTACAACGAAATCATGTTTGCAGCGAGAAATTTTTCACAACGGGGTTTTTCACTGCAGCAAATTTTATCTCAGATGTAAACACACACACACACACACACACACACACACACACACGCACACACACACACACACACACACACACAAACATATATGTGT